CAAACTATGGTACATACATGCAATGTAATAATACTACTATGCAACGTTAAAGAATAATGATGAATCCATGAAATATCTCACAACATGGATGAACCTGGAAGACATTATACTGAGTGAAAACAGTCAATCACAAAAGGACAGATATTTTATGAGACCATTGTTACAAAAAGGTTTACACTCAGAAAGAAACATTCTTCGATGGTTACCAAGGATGGGAGGGAGAGAGAGAAAAAATTGCTAACTATAAGGTTGGGCAATCCTACTTCCGTAGTGACACTGCCTCGGAAACCCAAGGAGGGGTCGCTATGAGTCGGGGCCGACTCCACGGCACATAACAACAACAACAACAACAATATAATAGATACGTATTAACTTGGGTGAAGGGAATGGCAATGCACAATAAGGGGAAGGTCAGCATAACATGACCAAGGCAAAGAAAGACATGGGGAAGTATGAAGGAGTTAAAAGCAGCAATGATAAGTATATTACATATACAATCCCATAATAACAACAGTAACAAACAATAATTTATGAATGGATACATATGTAAGCTGAATAGGTATGGGATGTCATATGGGAGTACACCCATGACAATATATAGGTTTGGCAGAGGATATTTCTGTATACTTATTTGTATGTGCTGCAAATATATCCAGGTGTATAGTAGAGCATACAGGGGGCAAAGTTATGCAAACTTCTTAGTCATAACCAAACACCTTGAGGGACTGAGTCATTGGGCTTGAGGACTTAGGACCATAGTCTTGGGGGACATCTAGGTCAGTTGGCATAACATAGTGCATAAAGACAATGTTCTACATCCTACTTTGGTGAGTAGTGACTGGGATCTTAAAAGCTTGTGAGCAGCCATATAAGATGCAACTATTGGACTTTTCCTTTCCAGAGCAAAGAAGAGTGAAGAGAATCAAAGACTCCAGGAAACAATTAGTCCAAAGGACTAATGGACCACATGAACCACAGCCTTCACAACCTGAAGACCAGAAGAACTAGATGGTGCCCGGTTACCAGTCCCAACCACTCTGGTTGGGATCACAATAGAAAGTCCTGGACAGAATGGGGTGGGGGGCAGAAATGTAGAACAAAATTCAAAATTGTTAAAAAAAAAAAAAAAAAACCCTCAAGAATTACTAGTCTGATAGAGACTGGCAGAACCCCTGAGACTATGGCCCTTCGACACCCTTCAAAGCTGGACCTGAAACCACTCCCTGAGATCACCTTTCAGCCAAACAATAGACAGTCCTACAAAGTGAACAATATCATCCTCAGAATACTCAACCACAGAGACCAAAAGAGCAGCATTTGCCCAAAAACAAAGTTCAGAAGGCAAGACAGGGCAGGAAGTATTGCACAATAGGCAAACCAGGTAGGAAGTAGAAAGAGTGCTGTTACAATGAGGCAATATATTTAAAAAAAGACGACAACTTTAATAGTGAAGAGGCTAATGCCCTAAGGCAATCTTTTAACCTGCAACTGAAGCCACCCCCAAAGGTCACCTTTCAGCCAAACTATAGACAGGCCTATAAAGTGAGAGGAGCAACACCAAGGAGGAACATGACCTTCCTGGGAGATCATTAACAGATGTTTAGGGCACCATCTAGTTCTTCTGGTCTTCAGGTTGTGAAGGCTGTGGTTCATGTGGTCCATTAGTCCTTTGGACTAATTGTTTCCTGGAGTCTTTGATTCTCTTCACTCTTCTTTGTTCTGGAAAGGAAAAGTCCAATAGTTGCATCTTATATGGCTGCTCACAAGCTTTTAAGATCCCAGTCACTACTCACCAAAGTAGGATGTAGAACATTGTCTTAATGCACTATGTTGCCAGGATCTTGTTCCTGGCTTCCTCTGAGAAAATCGTAGGACCCAAAAGACAGTGGAGTCTACGGGGCATGAAAGCTAATTCCTCTCCACATACACACAAAAGCTGAGTCATGGATGATTTCCATTCTCACCAAAAAGTACTTTGTTCATCCTCACCCTCTACATCTAAATGGGGGTAGGTGGCAAGACAAGAAAAGGGAAATTGTGGTTGTTACTACCGTGTCAATAAAGGACCTGCTGCCACACAGTCTCTCTTCTTAGTAGCTACTTTACTTTTTTGCACTCAAAAAAATAAAAGGATCAACTGGGGTTTTCATTTTTTCAATGATCTGAGATTCACTGATTACTAATCCTTAGTATGAATGCCATCACATCCTATCTATATGAGGAATGACAGAAACCTCAAGGTAACAAAATCAGAAGGAATAAAGAGTCTGGCCACTGGAATACAATGGAGTTAGCTGGGGAAGTCTTACTGGTTGATGAGTTCTCAGAAAATGAGCCAGCATTATAAAGCCAGAAATCAGAGCCACAGAGTACCTTGTTGAACAGAACCTCAGTACTTACTTATAAAGATCTGGACAAACCTTCTCAGAGTTAAGAACATGTCCACTGAGATCATTCAGTTTATCTGATTCTTTTCTAATTTTAAGTTAGCATCTCCTCCAGAAAGACTTATTGATGCTCTCAGCCCAGGAATGCTTCCAAATATCCATCCATGGATAAATAGCCTATTGAAGCACATCTTAAGATTTTCATGCTCTGAAACCTTCCTCTGTTCCCATATTTATCTTCTGCCGCCCTCTTCCTCCCCCTAAAATACTCCTACACACATACACACATGCAGTCTCCCAACCACTCCTATTTATTTGCAGCTTCACAAACATCCTAGAGTCTTTCACTCCTCCATGCCTTTGCATCCCTCTGCATACAAGCTCTACACACACTCCCATCTTTCTCTCATGTCCACTTGGTGAATTTTTTATCTTCCTTCATGATCCAGCTTCATTCTCTGAATTCTCCATGTTTCATAGAGCACTCATCACATTGCATTGTAATTCATATATGTGCCTCCCTCCCTCCCAGGGAGCTCTGGTAGCATACTGCCTAAGGCATTTGACTGCTAACCAGAAGGCTGGTGGTTCAAACCCACCAGCTCCTCCTCAGAAGGAAGGTTGGGCAGTCTACTTCCATAGTGATACTGCCTCGGAAACCCAAGGAGGGGTCGCTATGAGTTGAGTCTGACTCTATGGCTCATAACAACAACAACCTCCCTCCCTCACTAGATGTACACCCCCAGGTAGGACAGGATTGGGCTTTAGTCAGCTGTGTAATGGTGGTGATTTCATAATGATAATATGGTAAAAAATAATTTCTAGGAAGGATATTATGAAACATGTTGACCTTATTCTGGTGAATCACTCAGAGAGAAATGGGAAATGAGATTGTGACCAAATGTCTATCAAGTACAAGTAAAGGATGGGAGAGTGGCCTTGTCTTAAGCTCAAAATCTTAACAGTGAAACTTAACTAAAGAAGAGTTTGGACCTAATGAGAACAAGATATCTTGAGAACAAGTCACACCAGCCTTACAAGAGCACCAATGGCTCCAGTAGGCAGTTTGGCGACCTGTGAAATGGACCTTGCAGGAGACACACCCCAGAAATTGTGATTAAAATGCTCTCTTGCTTTTCTTCCTCTGCAACAAGTGACAGTAAAATCACCACTCAGGATGGGAGATGAATCTGTGCATGTGTGTGTCTAGGTATGTTAGTACTGGAATGGTTCTTGGGGAAAAAAAAAAAATCCGTTAAAAACTAGAATTCAGCAATCTTGAGGATTTGTCTCAAACTTTTCTTAAAGAAATTTCTCAATGGAAATGATACCACTTGTTTAATTTACCATAAAGATGAGCATGGCCTGCCTGATGCTACCAGAGCCTATTGGTCTGTCTAGCCATATTCAAGCAGACACTGAGTCTGGGAGAGTCTAACAGAACTCTGGCCCTTATAACCCAAGAATGGGAGGCCCACCCATACAAATATTGTTCCCTCTCTATAACTGAATAAATAACAAACAAACAGTTGCCACAGAGTCACTTCCAACTCAAGGTGACCCCATGTGTTTCAGAGTAGAACTGTGCTCCATAGGACTTTCACAGCTATGACTTTGGGGGACATCTGGGTCAGTTGCCATAACATAGTGCATCAAGACAATGTTCTACATCCTACTTTGGTGAGTAGTGACTGGGATCTTAAAAGTTTATGAGCAGCCATATAAGATGCAACTATTGGACTTTTCCTTTCCAGAGCAAAGAAGAGTGAAGAGAATCAAAGACTCCAGGAAACAATTAGTCCAAAGGACTAATGGACCACATGAACCACAGCCTTCGCAACCTGAAGACCAGAAGAACTAGATGGTGCCCGGTTACCAGTCCCAACCACTCTGATTGGTAAGAAAGTAGTACCAGGTCACCAGGTCTTTCTTCTAAGGCACCTCTTAGTGGGTTCCAACCACAATCTTTTGGTTAGTAGTTGAGGGCTTAACCATTTTCACCACCAGGTACTACAGAACTGAATAGAACCCAGGATTTTGAGGATATAAACTCATGAGTAGAATAATTGCAAGTCTTTTTAATATTAACAGAGAGTAAATTCACTATGAATAATTACAATCTGACCCTAAAATGTTCTAAAGTGCTAAGTTACATCAAGAAATTTAAGTGCCAAGAAATTGCCTGTGCTAAAAATATGGGCAATCTACTTCTGTAGAGATACCAACTTGGAAATCCAAAGTGAGATCTCTGTGAGTTGACTCGACTCCAGGGCAGTGAGTTTGGTTTTTGGTTTTTTTTTTGAAGGATGACTAAATTCACTTCCAAACAAACTTCAAAGTAGTAAATAATAGGTTTCCATTTCCTCATTCTATTCTTTGGGGAAATGAAGAGACCTAAGGAAATGCCTTGTGTCAACAAACTGTTCATCTGTGCTGGGTAACATTGAAATCATCGTCAGGCACCACACCATATGGGCACTTCTTTAAAAATCACTGCAAAACAAAGGAAGGCAAAAGGGAATTGGCTTTTGAAAAGCAAGATGGTGTAGGAAAACCATCACCTGAAAGACCAAGGATGAATGATCCTAGAGAGGGAGGAACAGACGTCCTGTCTCAACTTTCCACAGTAGTGGTCTCTGTGGTTCCCCCTCTCATAGCTAAGTGGGAAGTGCGGGTCTCGGGTGTTCCCCTTAGCCCCGGGAGGGCCTGTGGCTCCTTTAACTCCAGGACCACGCGGCTAAGAAGGCCTTTGAGCAGCTGCATTTCTCTCAGCAGAAGATCCATGCCAGGTTTCAAGGCTCCCGCCGACTGTTCCAAAGGCGACGGCGGGGCACAGGCCTGGGGTCCAGCAGTGGGGACGCTGCCCGCGGAGAACAGCAGTCCTGATGAGGTGGTGTTTGGGACGGAGGTGACAGATGAAATCGATCTGGACACTGGAGGCTTTCTGAAGGAAAGCGGCATGTTACTGGGAGCCAAGGGTGCGGGCTGTGGAGCCGCGACGGTGGTGAACGCCAAGTTCAGAGGAGAGCCTGTGAAGCGAACACACCTAGTAATGCGCGGCTGAACTCGAACCCTCTTGGCCGGGCGTGTAGGGGAGAGACATGGAGTTCCAGAAAAGGGCGGGAGTAGACATTCCACAGATGGTAGAGAAGTAAGGAGATGAAGAGAAGGGGATGAGGAGATGGGAAAGGGTAGGCGGAGCGCGAGGAAGGCGTGTGGGTGCCAAGAGGAGGCACAGCTGCCCCCCTGCCGAAGGGGTCCCGGGTGCCTCTGTCACTCACCGCCCCGGGGGAGCTGCAGCCAAGGGCTGCGTTTCCGGACGCTCCGAGTGGCGGTAGCCGCCTCACACCAGTGAGATTCCAGTTCCTCGACCTCGGGCTCCGGGACAGTGTACTCTGCACCCCAGTCAAAGCGACGCACGACGCGACTGTACTTGTAGAAGGCGAACTGCAGCGGCGTGTCTTGCTTTTGCGGGTGCAGGTGTGTCTGGCAGCGCACCACCACCCCGCCCGGGGCTGCGCCGCGGGCTTCCATCTCGCCCATCACCCGTAGCACCGGCGCCTGGAATAGCTCTGAGAAGAGAGCGGCCCAGTAGTGAAGACGCACGTGTGGCAGATGCAGGGGTGGGGTGGGTCAGGGGAGGAACCAAGTCCTGCTTGCCCACCGCCCGAGAGAGTTCTCTCCTCTTTTCCTTCGAGGGCTCCTCACCGACCCGAAGACCAAACGAGGGTCGGGGAGGCTGTGTGAGCGCAAGGAGGGTGGGAAAAAGCCTTCTGAAATGTGAGGCAGGGGACCGAGTTCAAGTGGGGCTGAGAAATCTTGAAGGGAAGCGGGAACCAGGCCGAACCCTTCATCGTCTTTTCCTACTGACACGCAGCTCTGACTTCTCCAGCCTGGAAAGGGCTGACTCTCGGCCTGCATCGTAGGACGCTCGGAAGCTTCCCTCGCCCCAGTTCCCCAGCGGCCTCTATCGCTGCTGCTGCTATTCTGGCTCAGGCTGGGACCAGACCTGCCCCTCTCTGTGGGGTCCCAACCGAAGTAAGAAGCTGGGGCTGGGCCCTGGGGGGG